GTTCCGACGCGTCAGGATTGTTTGGCACCTTGCTGTGTTGAATTGCCGCAAAGCTTTTGCCCAGCTGACCAATTTCCCAGTGATCATTTTGCGCGACTGAAGATGTTTATGTCCTGCGCAATCCCAGTCCAGTCAGATTTTTTGCATGGCGCAGTCGTATCCAGCGCGGACTTGGCAACATTTTTTTGGGTCAGGAAGTGGAACGTGCCGCATTCTGGCATGTTGCATCCATGAAGTTTGGTGACCAACGTGCAGCTTTTGACGGGCACAGCAATGTTTGGTTTCCCGACTGGTTAGGAGCTGTCCAGCTGGTGCTGGACAAATGAAGCTTGTGTTGACGTCACTTTTTGGACTGCATTGATCAATCCCGAACTGCCGGACCGACCGCTTTTCACCTATCGTCCTTTCTTCCCTGGCATCATCCAAGGAATTCAGGGGCCATCGCGCCGGTAGTGCTTGCGCATGTAACAGCCGTAGCCTTTGCTACTCCACTACGAGGTTTCGCCAACTTGGTGGAAATCATGCCTGTGTGGATGCATTGATTTGCTGCTTGGTGCGAACGCCACAGGCAAAACCCAGCGCAACTTCGGAATCCTGGTTGCACTTTGCAAGGAACCATTTGTACGATGTACGCGCAGAGTTCGTCGATGCTTCCATCGTGATTGCCGGATGGCTGCCGGATTGCACAAGATGCTGTGCCCTGAAGCTCGGGCGGCTTGCATTGATGGCCAGGCACTCAACCTCATAACGAATAAGATCCTGGAGCGAGGGCGAGCAACAAACCTGAGACAGCTGCCACTATTCCTTGGAGCATGTATTGCATTTGTCGTACTGAGCTGGAAAAAGCTTGGTGCGATGGCATGTGCTAGGAAGAAATGCATGCGGCATGCCACTCATCATTCGGAGCTGCACGGGTTTGAATGGGCCTCCTTGGTTCATACTGCATTCATACTGCACGTGTACCTGCATGCTCATTCTGATTACTCTGCAGCAAACGCGCAAGAGAGCAAGAGGATCCTCAATTTTCTCTCGCTGTGGCTCTGCGCATTCCTGCGACACCTTTTGAAGTCTACGAGAAAGAAGGACACGGAGTCATGTCTTCACAATTTCTTTCACTGCGGTCAAACCTAGGATTAACACTCGATGGTCTGAAACACGAAAGAGCGATCGTTCACGTGCTTCGCGAGCGCTGACCTGCAAGCGGTCAAGTTCGCAGAGTTCTTGGCTGAGTCAGCAAAAGAGTAATGCATATAGTAGTGCTCAGATTGTGAAACCCAGCACCGGTTTAATCACTTAAGTGGCATTGGGTGACAATGGGGCTCACTCTAGGAAGCGCAGAGTTTTGGGCTTAGTCCTGCAAAGAAGGCCTCCGTCACTCGTGCATTCCTGCCCTTTGTAGCGGCAGCTAGCTAACAACGGACACCTGTGGTCAACAAAAAGTCCTGAACGCTGACAATTCCTTTTCTTGTCGGCCGGCTTCTCCAGAAGGTCGCAAATGTTGCAACCACAGTTTTCGAGCATTCAGACTCCTTCTTTCTTCAACTGAAAAACACACCGACCACGAAGATCGCACAGGTTTCATGACACTGTCACGTCTTCTTCAACACGAGTGGTGGCTGAACACGACATCACGCCACAACGCCTTGTCTTGCAGATACCGGTTCACCCAGTTCTGAATGGCGTCAACATGCCTGATTGCCCGCACTGAAGCTCTTGCAGGATTTCTGCATCGTCTTCTTCGGCATTGTCGGGTCGTCCTTCCTCTTGCGCTTGTTCTTCTCAGTGAGTTCAAGCCGAACGCCATTTGCAAATCCATGGTGCACTCATGCAGCTGCTGGCAACCACCAACTCTCGCACTGAACTTCACACTCGCGTAGAATCTCCTCATCATCAATTGCATCTTTCCCAGAATGGGCAAGATGCAACCTACTGCTGTGGATTTCAAAGTCATGCAACGTCTGCAAAATCAGTCCCCGGCATATTCTGGTATGTTCTAGCATTCTCCTTGCAGACTGGCAGAGAAGCCACACTCATCACGAGAGCATAGAACTCCAGCAATGCACAGTATCTCCATGCTCTGTCCTCTGGGCAGCTCACTTGCCAGTCATCTTTCAAGCAAGGAGTAGGAGAACCGAAGACCTGGACCGTAGAGAAATTCAGTGTCCGGGCTTGGTCATCATAGTTCCTTTCGCCGGACTTCAACTCCGCATCCCGGTGTAGTCCAGGTGCAACGCACATCGTGGTGAGTTGACGAAGCTGAAGGAACATGAGGGCGCCATGACACACTGTTCCACGTGAGCCCCAGAATTCCTCTCTGAGTTGCTCGAGTTGCTCGAGGTGGTGCTAGCAGCTGCTAGCAGCTGCAGATGCGCGAAACGCTTCAGCTCTGCCATGAGGCACAAAGGCTCTGTGCTCATGACCGTGGCTTTGTCCCTGATGTGATCTCGAGCCTTCCTGGCGAAGCGGCACCCCTAGTCATGGCATCACCTCGAAGCTATGATTCACGTGTCTCTCATTCACTGTCTAAGCAGTGGACAGCCGAGTTCATCGCAGACATCATTCAAGCCATCACACATCACCGTCAAGACTGTTCATTCGCGGCTTACTCTCATGAGGAGACAACTTCGGGTAGCTGCTGGGCCCCGGGCTGTATGTACAACAAAGCAGCTCAGCTCAATCATTTCTCTTCTGCCCTCGGCTGTGGTGCTTTTGCGACTTTTGCTGAGGAACTTCAAGCTTTGCTGACTGGTTGGGATCACGCTTGAAGTGGGCATGCTGCAAAAGCTAAGGAAGCAATGCATGCGATTTGCAATGTTCTGGCCCAATGAGCAGGAGCCTAGAAACTTGACTTGCCAACCACGCAGGCTGCAACATGCGTGTTGGTTTAACAGCTGAACTTGGCTTCAAGAAGGTGCGTCTGCGCCTGTCTGCACATGTATGGCTGTGCGCAAGCTTGCTCACGCATACGTGCGCACACAGACATGCTGTCCTTCGAGCCTGCATCGTGCACTTTGTCTTAAAGAACCATCCACAATGCTAGCACTGGACAGCAACCCGAGCCACAGGCCAGGAAATATCATCTGACCCGTCCGGCTGCAGGTGTAAATGCCATACGCCTGCGGACAGACTTCTGTCTTCTCCAGGCCAGGAAAGACATGTAAGGCTCAGGGCATGGGGTAAAGCGGAAGCAGCTGAAGTCCCAAACAATATAATATGGTCGGATTTAGGCACAAAACTGAGTTAGAGACACATCCACTCATGGCATAGGAACACACCACTGGCAAACAGGCCTCATCGTCGTAGCGTTGGATCTGAGTAGTCAGATATGACTTGTTGTTATTTTGAGATGGGCACTGCAAGGATGAGTGGGATCCTCTGGAGGTTTTGTGACTTTCTGAAAGTTCTCTAGGAGGCCCGGCGAGCAGGGAATAGAATCGTTTCAAGTGAGCGCAACCCACTTCTTGCGATGCAGCGACATTGAACAGCAACGGGCTTCACCGAATGATTCCCCAAGGTGTGGGCCGACAGGGATGGCTGCACCGTCACGGCCAAGCGCGCAGTGGGAAACGAGGCCATCTTGCGTGCCTGGCAGAAAAAAATCACGCAGGGACACGCCGACAGAGGGGGGTCCAGCTTCGCCACTTCCCCCACTTAAGCGCTCGCTTGCTCGAGACTCTTTCTCTGATTAGTGAAGAGTTGAAGCCGATATGTCGAAGTCTATTTATGTTGAAGCTCTCTTCGGACATTCCTCTTCGCCCAGAGCCTCTTTTGCTCTTTTGCTCGATGAAACCTAATCTTGAAGGACTGTTTCCGCTGCGTAGATGCTTGAAGGCTTCACGTTCTTTCACTGTTGGCGCTTCTGTCTGAAGCTGTTTTACAGATTCCTGTTCACTCCCACCGCCAATCGTCTTCACCTCTTCTGACTGGCCCCAAAAATATCGCAGGCCCCAAAAATGTATGTAGCAACACTTCGGATTGTGTCTCTTTTTCACTTGGGCAGAGATCTCGGGTCTTTGAAGTCTGGTGCCCACAAATCGCCTCGGATACTTCCTAATCAGGGACTCCACACACTGAGATGGAACCATGCTGTACATAATCGATTCAAACTAGTCTTCGGTCTTCGCCTCGGAACTCGTCTTGCCCTTTGGTGGGCAACCCCGACAAGCATCTTTCGCCGCCAAAAAATCTTCCGAACTCGTCCCCGTGGCCTACTGTAGATCTTCGCCCTCCAAGCACTTCTAGAATGGCTCCCCAACTTACCCACTTGCCCCACTTGCCCCACTTGCCCCACCCCCAACAAAGGACGAGGGATCCAGGGCTCTCTGTGCTGAGCTGCTGACAAGCGCCAAGGCAGTTGCCTTTGTTGTCCTGGCGCATAACTTGGGTCTAACGGAGAGTGAGAACACCGTGTGACAGCTGATGCAGGCAAGCAGCTTATTGTCGGCACCGATACGAGCTGCCATTCCAGCCTCCCGGCGTTTTGAGCAGAACATCTAAGCCATCGGAACCCCCAAGTCGGAATCCAGTCCCTCCAGGTGTTCACGCAAAATTCTTGCCCAACACGGCAACCATTCCAAGCGACAAGAGAAAACCTCAATCCGCCACAAGCATCGAAGAGCTCCGGCCTTCTGAACAGCAACGGCACTAACTGTAGAGTCAGTGAGGTAGATGTCCATCCTGAGCCAGTGCAGTCAGACTCTGCCCCCCGGCAGTTCGCCAACCACAGGAACTGCCCACGTAAAGCAACTATCTTTTGCGGCGGCCGCACGTAAGGAGCTTAATCTCCAGTCATACCGCAAGAATGTCTGATGTGAGGCGTCCGGTAGGATGAAGCCAAGCATCAGCTTTGTTGCAGTACCAATGGACCAATCACCCAAATCACCCAAATCACCAAACCACCCAAATCCCTCAAATCACCCAATTCACCCAAATCACCCAAATCACCCAAATCACCCAAACCACCCAAAGCCAATCTACGAATCCTTCCCTTCAGAGGCGAGTCACGCAGCCGTAAGCCCTACATGTTGCGGGAGGTGCTTCGACAGAAACATGATCGGACACGCACCTGGCCCACGGGCGCACATGATTTAGCGATGATCTTGGTTTTTTGCATCGTGTTGCATAGGGAAACATGTCAACATCATGAGCAAAGCAGGACATTGCACCATTTAACAACTTGACAATGCGTAATGGAACTTAACATCTAATGAAACTTAGCATCTTCCGGGTGTGAGAATGTGAAAACTCTGGATCAGGATATACCAGAGCTTGCAAGCTACGAAGGTCTCTGAAGCCAACGCCTACTTGGAGGCCTCGGCTGATGTTGCCGAAGGCTGCGCTGCCATTCTGGGCAATCACACGCTCCGTGCAGTTGAGCGACCTCGGTGGAGAAGTTGGGGGCAAGCAGATCCCACCGCTGATTACCACTGACTTAGCTACCACATGCGAGCTCAGCGTCCACACAACTTCCCTGCAACGTTTGAATCCAACAAGAGCTCGATGCAACATCTTACAATTCGGCTCTGAGACAGGAGAGCTGCGATGTCACACGGCCCAAAGGCTGAAGGCTAGTGTCGTGGCAGCACTCATGCCAATGAGGTCAGTAGAATCAGTAGAAGAGGAGCCAGGGACAGTGAACATTCGTGAAGCATTCGCAAGTGACTGGTACAGGTCACATGTGCCCAGAGACTGAGCACTTCACACGGCCACTCCTCCGCCGATTGCGTTGCCAGTGATCGCCACGACGCTTGGAATCGACAACTCCTGTCTACGAAAAAGCGACACACAACATGGAGTCTAGAGTCTAGAGTTCCTCCACTGTGTCCTCATCCTAACACAGATGCGTCAACATGCGTCAACAAGCCGCATCTGGGCCTTCATCCGCACAACGAACAAGGATGACGAAGCGTGTGAGGCCATCTGGTAGGGCGTGGCTCCCGGAGGAGCCACGGGGTGATGGTTGCCTGCCATCAAAAGCACTCGCAACCCTTGAGCAGCTACGAGACACATGAGGGGTCGGGGTTGTTGGTGGCCTCCCGGGCAAAGGTGAGGTCCCGCACCCTGCAAGACAGCTGCCAGCGGCATTGCATTCCTCTCCATTCGGAGGCAGAGGAGGATTTCCAATGACTTGTAACAGATACAATTCTTAGATATTCAGCATCGGAGATGCTGTGCATCACTCACAACTTGCACACAACTGAGCCAGCCCTCGGCACTCTCAGGCAATGGGCCTGCTCTTGCAGCGGGACATATGCAGTTGGTAAGCATCCATCATGTACAGGAAGTCCGTACCTCACCATGAGAAGTGGCCCTTCTGGCATGGATACTTGTGTCTGTGCGTGCCATTCACGAGCTCAGCTAGAAGCACGCAGACTGGATTCTAAACCTGATATTGGGAGAAACCATGGGCACGGACACGCTCTGGAATATTTGCTCGTGAGACCAGCAGTGAGAATCTCACATCTCACGCCGTTGGTCCTTACACAACCTTTCTCCACCTCTGATCAGTGAACTGGCTCCAATCTGTGTATAGAATGTGAAGCGAAATCGCCAATCAGGCAGTGAGTCATTAACATGATGACCTCGGACTGGGAATCTGAGAATGGCAACTCAAAGGATCAAAGAGCTCTGTCTTGCGGATGCGTTGCCAGGCTCATTTAGTCCGAGGCTAGATTTGGCTATATATGGTACAAGTGAAACTGGGTCAGACTGCAATTGATCGACCTTCATCGTCTCCACTCACAATCTACCACACCAGGCACGTCGCCAGGCAGGAAATCGGAAGTCTTAGTACTCAAGAAGCTCCACTGCTGATCCACGCAGGCCGTGTCTCTCTGCTCGACTGAAGAGCTCGGCTCGACGATCCTGGCAGCGGCTAATTGCGGCAGATTAGGGTGAGTTATGGCTGATTCAAGGCATCAAACTTTCAATCTAATGTGTCGACAGAAGTTGCGGAAAAAGCAGACAAACGATACGAGTACTTTGTTCTTGGCAAGGCAACCACGGCCAGCAGATGGCAGCCGCTCTCGTCAAGGCTTTGAACCCGGAAGGCAGAGTAGGGCGGGAAGAGCGTCTCGCTTTCCTTCTCCTTCCAGGAGATGTCCTGTGAAGGTTGGGAGACAGTCCCGACTTAGATCGACGTTTCGCCTCACAACTAGAAAAAAAGACAACAAAACCATTTTACTTCGAACATCCCCTGTGGGCACTCCAGGGAGACTCTGGGGTTGGGCACTCCAGGAAGCCTCTGGGGTCGGGCATTTCAGGGTGTCTCTGAGGTTGGGCACTCCAGGGAGACTCTGCGGTCCAGTCTCTGGTGGCCGTTTCAGTCAGTCTCTGGGGTTGGGCACTCCAGGGAGTCTCTGGGGCACTCCAGGGAGTTTCCGGGGTTGGGCACTCCAGGGAGTCTCTAGGAGTAGACCGGGCGAGGAGAAGCGTTTAGGGCGAGGAGAAGAGTTGAGTTTAAAATCTAACAACATCTAACAACCCCACACCGAAGGTGGGGAAAACTTCGAGAGAAACACTTCGTCACTTCGCACATCAACGGATAAGGGTCCTGGATATCTCGCGCTCCCCAGAAGCCTGGAGGGATGTCGATGGTCCAGAGGTAGCCCTTGCCATCCTCCCTCGCACGATACTTCTCTGCCAAAGTCTTTTCTCGCGTTGTGCTCTGGAACTGGCGAAAGCGGACAAAACGGTCCAGACGCATTGCCTCCCTGAGCTTTTGCATGTTTAATGGAACGGGCCTCTGCGTGTCGCCCTTCCACACCCGACCTCCTTCGTGGATACGTTTGGAGCCATTCTCTTCATCGTAGAGGAGAAGGTACACCATGCGCTGAATCAGGGGCATGGCGTTCTCCAGATTGCTTCGTGCGTCACAGTTCAGTGTATTGTTAAGCGCGCGATAGTACAGTGAGTAGTCCTGGCCGGTGTTCAGAGTGACCCTCTGGCCTAACTTCTGATGCGTAGTATACAAGTAGAGTGATGCATCTTGATGGGAGTCGAAGAGCTCAAGCAAGGACTGCAACTTGGAAGCATCGATTTCAAAGGGCTCGCCGTCAGCATCTTCAAGGTTGCTCAGCCACTTCTCCAGGCTCCATCTTGCAGCCTCCTTTGAAACAAACTCCACATCTCCAACACCCTTGCTGCACGGGTACAAACTGGCAAAATGCGAGGAGAGCAGTCCATGTGTAGTACAAAGGGATGAGTATTCCTTGTCGTTGACGGGCGCCAAGAATGCAGACCAGCAGGTGAAGGAGCCCGTGCCTGTTGACAAGGTCACCAGCATCCCCTCATGCCCCTTGCGAAGCCCACTGCCTTCACTGACGGTCTCAGAGATGTCCTCAACCTGGCCACGACGCTGCCAGTTTGCCCCACGTTGGAAACATACGACCTGGTCACCCACTTCCGGTGGATTATCAGGCGAGTAGAAGCCAGCTCGCCGTGCCTGCTGGATTGAAAATGGACCCGCAAAGGCCACGTTCCCAAAGTACGGCAGGTCGCTGGTTGTCCATTCCAACTGGTCCATGGCCTGGCATGCCTCGGCCAGAACTTCTGCCGGAGAGTTCGTTCCATCAACGGAGACCACCTTGTCTTTAAAGAAAGGTAGAATCGTCTCGATGTGACGCTTATAAGTCTCCAAGCGCTTGGAGACCAACTCTTCCTGGTCGTCACTCCGCTGGACCAAACGCTGCGCCACCTGGGGTTGGTCACTCGGTGGTGGTCGAAACGTCAGGTGGTAGATCCTTCCAGTCAGAGGATCAATCCGGCGCTCTAGGGAGCGTAACCGGAGCTCTTCGTCCGGGACCTTCACCAGCAACACTTGGTCCACGCGCATGTTGCCCACCAATGTAGATGCCTGGCCGGCTGTTAAAGGGAAGTTGTCCAACAAACATCCTCGCGTGAGAATATCCGGTTTGCTCATGCGCTCTCTCATGATGCTCATCACCAGCTCGTGAGGAACCAACTTGCCCTCCATCATGAACTGATGCACCTCATCGAGCATTTCCCTTAGCCCCAAACATCCCTTCAAACATCCCGAGCTACCTGGGACATGGCGGACATACCACTACCGTGCACAGTCACGTACCGGCCTTGCGCCCAAGATCGTTCTCCCGCTCCACCTCCTCTCGTAGAAGCTGCCCTGGTGATATGTGGACCAAGCCATAACGCTTCTCCAAGCCGTCGCATAGCGAGCCTTTCCTGAGCTGATAGTTTGGCATGGAGTGAGCGAAGGACGCTAAGACATCGCATGATTGGAGGTTCAAGGCTAGTTGCCGCAATAGTGGTACATAGCAAAAGTAGCGTCTGCAAACATCTCTTTACATTCAAGGCTCCCTGCTGCAGGAGGTCCAGCCACAACAACGACGTGCCTTGGAACCCACGCTGGGATGCCTGGGGGGAGGGGCCTTGGGGCGCCCCGGGAAGGCCCCCGGCTGACAGTGCGCTGTGAATAACGCGAGACACATACATGGATGAAAAGAAACAGCAACAAACCCTTTTCCTAAGAGTGCTGTGGGAAAGAAGATCCAACGGCCAATGAGGACGACAAGAATCTGGCCAAAATCCAAAAAGTGTTCAATCCACATGAGCTGGGACGAAATGAACCATGAAATCTGGAAAGCCATGCTAGCAGCTAGCAAAACGGCACGGTGATGTCAGTTAAAAAGCAGCAAGAAACATTTCCTACCGGAAGGTGGCGACTGTCGAGCATATCGAGCCCTTGTACGTGTCTGCGTGCTTATCCTTGTCGTTTGCATCGAGACATCTCATACGAAAAGACTCGGACATCTCGTAAAAGACAACTCGGCGCGACAGCAGCACTGTCTCATTGGGGACTTTTGGTATAAACACGTTGCATCATGCGGATAACTCAAGCAGTGCAATTGCAACTTGCACGATTCGAAGATGTCACAAACGTCTTTATGCAGATGGGTAGGAAGCGCTGAGTATCTTCTTCCCTTTGTCAAATTGATGGAAGAGAGCCAAGCCCTGAATCCTGTGCAAACATGATGAATGTAGTTGCTCGTGGGGCGTGACCCCGCTGCAGCTGTGTACCAAGGTGGTTCACACACACAAGCAAACAAGCAAGCAAGCAAACAAAGCAAACAAACAAACAAACATAAGCAGTGGCTGATGAGCAAAGCCAGGTCCCTGGCATGAGGAGCCCTCTTGGCTAAGCCTGCTTATGAATGCCTACATCCCCAGATGCCTTCAATACTTGCAAAGAGATTGGCCTCCTGACGGCTTGAAAACCCAAGAAGTTTGACAACAGGAGGCCACGGCTGTGGCATTTGCACGAAAGGCATCTCTGGCCAGATTCTTCCGTTCGCAGGCCGCTTCACCGCGTTGCCCATGGGTAGCGAAGAACCGCCAGGGACTGAATTCTCCGATACTTGGCTAAGGGCAAGGAATCCACCAGCTTCAGCTTTGGTCCACACTAAGGTTGCATTGGAACCCGGAACATGGATGCCCGTGTTTGCGCGTGAAACAACGGCGCTTGATAGCACTTCGTGTCGTAGTTCATGCTCCAACTTGTGTCGTGTGCGTTGGATCCGAAGAACCTGCATTGAAAAGTCTGAGCCGACTTCCAAGCTGCACATGCTTCTGAAACAAACATACACCATGTGAGGGCGACCGTTGGCTCGAGTTCAGACGTGCAGCCCAATGCAACGAGCTGAAGATGTCTGGGGCGACGGCAAAGCACGGGATCGAGCATATTGAATGTGTGCTTGCTGTTCAACTCCTGCAATGTGCAGGGCTCAGGCAGCAGACTGTTTGAAATGGGAGCAACACCCAACTGCCCAACCTGGAAACACCCGCCCACCTGCATGCCTCCCTGCATCACTACCGATAAGCTCAGACTTGGGTCCAGAAGTAACACCGGCGGCGACGACTGTGAAAGAAGCGCGCGGCACTTCTGATCCTGCCAGGATTCCCGGAGCAATTCTCCAACCTCAAGCAACCTCAAGAGCTTTCAAAGAATCGGTCCTCCACTTCTCCAAACCCGAAAAGCCCGAACTGATTCTGCCATGAATGGGCCAGACTCCACCAGTATGCCTGCCATCCGCCATTCATCTTCACACTACATGACAGCGAACTTGAACTCGGGGAGTTTCTCAGCAAACGGTCGGGATTACTGCTGTGTAGCTTCCGCACTTGTTGATGTTAGTCATCCTGGCGAAAGTTGTGGCATGATGCAATAGAACACATCAAGAATGTTCGGCGAAAATCAGCAATGTTGCTCAAAACACCGTCCTGTTGTACTGGCTCGGAAGAAGACCAGTTCCTATCAGCTGCCTGCAAGCACGCGTCCAGATGATCTGACAACAAGAATCTGAAGGGCAGTGCATGTACTTGCAAGCACTGGACGCTGTGGACAACAAACATGCATGACCATGATTCTGCCAAAATCAGTCAACACCGATGCAAGATTCTCAAAATGCCTTCAGGACTGCGCTGTGGAATCGTAATACGGAGCAACAAATCATACTATTGCAGTGTCGAGAAAAGCTTAAACTTCCGACGTCGAAAACAAAACAAACGCTCTCAGCGAAACCTCTTGCGTGGAAGATCGCGGCCATTCATCTTGTGGAGAGACTCTTGCCTCATGCCCAACACTTCAGAAAGCGATCGTGTCAACCAAGAGCCTGCAAGTAGAAATCACAAATGCTGATACACTCAGAAAGGCCAGGGACAAACATCTCTGACAACACGGCATGGTTCCCAAAAGCTGCAACTACAACATCAGAAACACAAACACAGCCATGGATTTTCAACCGAACCGTGAGAACGACTTAGTGCCAAGCTCCAAATCCGCGTTCGCATCCTCAATCTGTTTCTGTCGGGCTGCTATTTCCTTGGAAAGCGTTAATTTCACAACTCAAATCAGGTGACTCATGTCGTTTGCCTTTTCTGTGCCATACTGTGGAAACTGAACGTGGATTTCCGCTGCACCTCACATTACGAGCCAGCCGACCGCTCGGATGAGACGTGCATAAGTGTCTAGTGCAGCTTCGTCCTTCACCTTGGCAAGCTTTCGACTCTCCTTTCTTCCACGACCGAACTGCTGCCTATGCATGCACAATTCGTCAATGTGCCTCCGCAGCAACCATCAGCACAAACAACTGCCGTGCACCGATTCCAAGGAAGTATTTACGGCTGTCGTCCGGGTTTCCACTACAAGCTACGTCACTCGTCGTTGACATCGTCCTCTTCACTAGTACATTGTGCGGAACCAATGCTTGGCTAGGTCGCATCCATGAACAACGTGTGAAACTGGCAAGCTTGGAGACAAAATGGCCATGCACGAGTTCGTCATGGCGATGATTGGAATAGCTGTGGTTTCAAATTTGCATGAGGTTTGCATGGTAGGTAAATGTAATACAACGGCATTCGGTTCCATGCTTCTGTTTTTCTCAACTGTCGGGCAAGCACAAGCTTTGCTCTTGCACATTGTCCACATTCAAAGTTTGGCAAAGCAGATGCACACCGTGCTCCCACAACGTCCCGAAGTACCTTGGGTCAGATCGGATGGCGCGAACCACCATGAAATATAATCGTGCCGCAAAAGCAACTCAGCATTGCTTTGGCTAAAGCAAACCGTCGTTTAGCCCTTGATCGTGACAACCCTCTTGCAATGCGCCCAAGCAGCAGACGTTCTGGCATCCTCACTTTGTTTTGAATGTTACGCATGCTCGCTGGCTGCATGCGTCTCCAACCACCTGAAGAATTTTATTTCAGGTGTGAGCTTTGACATGCAATAAATTGGCAACATAAGCAATTGCGGTACGAATGCAAGATTTTGCCCTTTGAGTGCAGCAAATTTTGCTTCGCTGTTGACATGGAGAACTTCTTGATGCTAGTTGTAGGAGGAAGATGGCTGCGAGCACTACCCTACGCTTTCTCAAGCCTGGCACGAAGATTTTGGGCGGCAAAGATGTATCGCACCCTGCTGTTGCACGCAAAACAGAATCCACAAAACGCCTTTTTTGCGAAGCAAAGTGCACCGACTTCATGAGCACCGTCATGCGCGATTCCGGACTTCAACGCACAACCTGATACCAGCTCAAAACCACCGCTCAATTCCAACTAAAGGGTTGACAACCTTCCCAGAACAATGCTGGGTCCCTACGCTCTTCTCACAGCCTGCTTGCAGCACCCCGTTGTCCAACGACTCTCCAGCCAGCAATTGGACCACCGACTTCGTTGTCAACCAACAACTTCTTTGCTCTCTTCTTCCGTGGGCACCTTGTCCACGACACCCAAGTCTTGAAACTTCTTTGTCTGTGTTTTTTTTCGAAAGTCTCAGGTTCTTACAAGCTGAGAAGGCTTGTTCTTCTGCAGAGAAACTTCGTGGGACTTGAACTGCTTCTCGTTGCCGTTAAAATCACTCCACTCGTCTTCTGTCTCCAGATCATTATGAGGCATTCCTGTTCTCAGCATGCTCTAAGTCCAAAGCTCGACTAAGGAAAACTGCTTTTATTCTTTGGGATCTGGTTGAATACCTTCAAGATCATGCGCGTCATGAACGAGTTTGAACTCTTTACGCATCGTCGGCAACTTCATCTGACAGTTCTTTCGTCTTTAGAACATGAAGGTTCAAGTGAATTCCAAACACAGATAAGAGCTTGGATTGGTGCTTCCGACCCAGAGATGTCAGCAATAATCTAAGCTTGCAAAGCAAAGATCGAAGGCTTCACACGATTTTGCACACGAAAGTGCCACCAGGGAAACAAAGTCCAAGAAGGAACAATGGATGCTGCATCTTCACAAAGCGAAAAACTCAGCAACAAGTCTCCACACCAAGAATTCCAGCCTTTCCATGGAGAAACCAGCTAAGCCAGCTAAGCCGGTTGACTTGTCCGTAAAAGTGCCCTCTGAAGGTTTACCCGGGTTTCCTTATTGCCTCAGTTCCAGGTTCAGCAGATGCCGCAGTCTCCATTCAGACAAACCCCGTCGTGGGTCTTGCGCAGCGTTCCAAGTTCAGCAGATGCTACAGGAGGCAAATGGGGGGGCTGCGCCCCCGCCAACCCTCCGGCTTTTTTCTGCCGGGCAAGCTCGCGTGGAAGCATATGAATCGCCTCTGAAACAAAACATGGGGTCTCGGCTTGGCCCCGCGCCACGTTACTGCTGTGAACTCTCTGCTTCTTGAAAATCGAGTAATGAACACGAAAAACAAGAAGAAGCGGGGTGGAATTGCCCTTGAGCTTCCCTTTAACAAAGAATCTCTGGTTTCGAAAAAATAAAACCCAAAAAAATAAAACAAGATTCGAGGGGGTGAAATTTAGAATACATTCTCTTCTTTCTTTGTGTAAAGGAATATGAATGTTTGGAGTCTTACTTCTCTGGTTTCAAAGGAATGAAATCCAAAAAAAACAAACACAAAATGTATCACAAGATTTGAGGAGGGTGGAATTTAGAACACATCCTTCTTTCGCTTTGTAAAAAGAAATATGTTTTATAATTGAAATACTTTATAACTTGGGTTTATACGTCCATCTGATGCATCATCTGTAACATTGTGGCAGCTATCCTTTTTCTGTTTCTTCTGTGCGGCTTGGTGGCTTGGAGGTTTGGCTTTTTGAAGCTAGAAATTGCTGCTTAGGTTTCTCAACCTTGTGACAGCACCAGTCGCAGCATGGCCTTCGACGTGAAAAACCGAAGGTCCCTCTGGTACCTTTTCCCTTGAAAGCACGAACCCTGACCTCTCACACAAGTGCGGACAACTCTCTCTTTTTCACAGTCAGAGCCACTTGAGCCACTTGAGCCACTTGAGCCAAAAGTCACGAAGTGCACAAACTAAACGAATTCTCTCTTGTGAGCTTAAACTCAGCTTCAGAACGAAGTTCCTACACACTGCACACTCACTTTAAATAGCGTATTGGGCAAAAACACACTCGTATGATTTCCTTGGAAATCAACGAGGCATAAACCATCGAGGATGGGATCACACGGATTCCCAATCACTCCGAAGCAAAACAAACCTATACAAGCTGATCCAAAACATGACAAAAACATCACTGATCAGCCACAATCTTCCACCCCCCGCATTTTGCTGAGGGTTCATGTCAAAGATCTGAAGTCCAAGCCCAGCTCGGCACTTCAACACTAAGGGGATGCCCTGGCCACATTCCCTTGGTGCGTACTCGCCACCAAACGAAACAAACAACACACCAGTCGATCTCTGACATCAAACTTAAAACTCATGCAAGATCCCACCATCAGGCAGGTTGTCCTGGGTCCACATCACTGGTAACCCAAGAGTTCGTTGTCCAAACACGTGAAAAACGAATTAAACTTGCATCCACCTGCACTGGGGCAGGGTTGTCTTGGAACGAATCCAAGAGTTCGTGGTGACAAACACGTGAAAACGAATTAATGCAAGCTTCAGATGTTTCCCACTCAGCACTCGACCTTGTCGTGGTACTCCTCCTCAGTCTCGCATCTTCCAGGTCACCAAACTCACCAACTAGCATCGGCTAGCTGATCCTTCAAGAAAAGATTGGCTTCATAGTTTCGCTTCTTCCAGCGTACCATCAGCCAAAAACGTCTTCAGAGGTGGCAATCAGACGCCTTGCAGAAGGGGCTATAGAGTCCCTCGTTGAGTTTCATCATCATTTTGCCTCCTCTTTGCAAACTTCTCATGCACTGAAACAAGGGCTCACACTAACCAGAAAAATCGCGGGCGCTCCATGGCGGCAACGCGGCCATGGCTTCCAAAAAATGGCTGCGGGTTTCACTCACCCACCCAACCACTGAGATCACTTAGCATCTCAGTTCATTCTTCATCCTCTTCGCCCTTCTTCTCGCCAGCTCCAGTTGACTCCATCAACTTGGCGCGGCGCTCCTTGGCGGCTTCCTTCATCTCCGCCAACTCAGCCGTCCTCGTTTCCATCATCACATCCTGCGAAGATCGGCTAGGCTCAGCTGGCGTCTCCGCAGGCCTCTCAGTTGGCTGGTCTCCAACCTTTCTCTTCTTCTCTTCCAACATCAGCTCCAAATCGGCAACACTAAAGCTTGCCTTCACACGCTCAGCAATCTGCGCGATAGCTGCTGCATCCAACTCAGATGGTACAACTGACACAGGCGAGCGAACCGCTTCGCCTTCCAGCTTTGCTCTCTTAGCAGCTTCTTCCTCGGCAGCTGACAGGTCGGCGATGCGCTTGCGCTTTCGCTCAGCTTCCTCGAACTCTCGGTCTTGCTGTTCCGCTGCAGCCTTGAGGATCCGCTTCAGGTCCTTTTCCTCCTTCTCGAGTTTCCCAACATTCTCACCCATGATCCCAAAGGCTTGCTGCCACATGTCGGCAGGCAACGTCAAGTTGAACCTCACCACATAGTCGGTCGGCAAGTGCCACTTACACTTGCAGATCCACACAACACCGCTTCGAGTCTCACTCGCAACCACCTTCTTCCAGCTTGCCGCCCTCTGCGTGTCGGTGATCTCCTCTTTCTTTTTCTCCAGGTCCTCCAAGAATCCTGCAACAGACTCCATCACGGATCTGTAGTGGCTGTAGGCCACAAACGACCACTTGGGGACTGGTCTCTCCCTCAGCTCCGGCTCGTGAATCCGAAGTGTATCACACGACAACATCGAAATCACTCGCACTCGC